GGGTGCTTTGTGGCGGGTGACCTGGCGACCGGTGTCTGACGGGGGCCGAGCCACGCCGCGGTGCTGGCAGATAACGGGCTTCCGGGAGCGGCCGTTCTGTCCGTCCCGGCCAAGCACATGTTTGCGCGGCCCCCTCTGTGCACGGGGCCTCCTCCGGGGTCTCGCTTCTCGGCGTCTGTAATCCAGCAGCTCAGCCCCTGGGCCCCAGCTCCAGAGTCGGGTCGCCTGTGGGCTCGGGGCCGGCAGGGCCTGCAGCCCTATGGCCTGCTCGTCCCCGAGGGCCGTGCATGCTGAGCCCGCCCGGCACCCACACAGGTGCCGACAGCAGCATGGGGAGGGGGGGGTAGGCCACGTGCACTGCCTGGCTGGCTGCCTCTCCGCGCACACCATCGTATAAGTTAGTTGTCATGACAACCTGGATCAGGTCTGCTTGTACCCTCCTCTCCCTCCACCTCTCCCCCCGCAGCAGGGAGACCTAAAAGGAATGTTTGTTTTGGGACGGACCCCAAGGCCCTTCTCCAGGGCGGCACGGGGACCGCGGACGGGTGTGGAGGAGAGCAGACCCTCCCACAGGCTGTGGGGGGGCTTTGCCGCGAGCAGGGCAGCCCCTGAACATGGTGCTCCAGGCGGGGCGCCTCTGAGCTCTCAGTGGAGGGGGGTGGGGGGGCCCGGGGAGGGGTGTGGGCCCTGGGGAGGCGGAGGCGCATGGGCGGCTGTGGGCAGAGGAGGGGACTGAGGAAGCCCTGAGGCCTGGTGGGGGGAGGGGGTGGACGGAAGGTGGACCGAGCCCGGACCGGTGAGGCCAGCACAGCAGCCCGGCTTCCTCGGCTCCGAGCCCCTCCCTGCTGCTCGGGAGGAGGCGCGATAAGCTGACCCACCGCTTTCCGTCCGAACAACTGGGACCGGGTCCGTCACGATGCAGGCCCTCCTGTCCCGGGTTCCGCACGCCGGGGGTTCACACGGTTCACACGGAAACGCCGACACCGAGCGTCCACTCGGGTCTTTCAGCCCGTTCTCCCCCCAGGCGGCTCCTCCGTGGCTCTCACCCCCCGCGCTCCCCGGCCGAGGGCAGGGAAGGCCGGGGCTCCGGCCGAGGCTGGTCTTGGAGGCTTCCCGCTCCGCCTTCTGCATCCTCAGCCCCGCCTTCCTGGATGGGCAGCCGCCGGTGGCGAGGAAGACCCTCCTTGCAGAGGGGCCCCCCCTCGAGTCCTCGGCCCCTGGCGTGGTGCCCGCTGGCCTGCAGCTGAGGCCCTTCAGACCGCGGCTGTGGCTCCGAGGCTGACTGAGCTGGTCAGTGCGAGGTCTCTTGGCACCTGGCCGGGGCCGGGGCCGGGGGAGGGGCCTTCCTGTCGCTGACCACCCTGAGCTGTGAGCCCGGGGAGGCGCGGTGACAGAAGCGGTGTGCCTGGAGGCCGGGCCCCGCGTGGCCGGCTCCCGCAGGGGCGGCGGGGGAGCCGGAACCCTCTCCCCGCGAAAGCCAGGGCGCCGCGCGCGGGACACAGCCCCGCTGGGGACAGAGGGTCCCGCCACGGGGAACTGTCACCGGGAAATGTCAGCACCCGGCACCTCACCGCTCCGGGCTCTTCGTTCTCGCCGACCCCCCACCAGCTCCCTGCGTCCTGCTTTCTGGGGGGGTCACGCCCCCCTCCCTGCCCGGCGCCCCCCGATGGCTGTGCCCCCCCGCAGTCTGCTCCGGAGCCAGCCGTTTCCATAACGTCAGAGGAAGGAGAAAAAGAGCGATCCTGAAAGCGCCCTTCGGAGAGAGCGGGTCTAAATAACGAAGGGAGAGCCCCAAGGAAGAGATGAAACACGGCTCAGAGCCGGAGCCTCCCGCCGGCCGGGCCGGGCGGGCGGCTCTGCAGGACGCTTTCGGGGCCAGGTTTCCGGGTTCCTGAGCCTCTGTCTTCCTTTTTATGCCGCTGAAGCCCAGCCGGAGGGAGGGAGCTGTGTCAGCCTGGCCCGGCTGTGCGAGGAGGGATGGAGAGAGAGATCTGGAGACACAGGTATCCGTCTCCTCCGCAGACGCCAGCCGGTCTCTCCGTGGAAACGGAGGCACAGAGCCCTGGGCCGAGCCGCCACCCGAGCCCCGCAGGCTGGCTCCGGGTTCTAACCCTTCGCCCCGCTGCCCCTGCACGGAGAGACCCACTGTGTGCAGGAGCTGTCCGCACGGGTGTGGGCGGGGGTCCGGGAGAGAGATGGTGACAGGGCTGTGTGGCCTCAGCGGGGCAGAAAGGTGTGGGGGTGGGGGTGGAGCACCAGGAGGGCTGCCTGGAGGAGGGGGCCAGCGAGCTGAGGCTCGAGGTTGGGTAAGGCTGAACTGGGGATAGTGACATGCAAGATGAGGTAGAGCCAGGTTCAGGCGCCAGCTGCTCCCTCAGAGACTCACCATTTGGGAGAGACTTTGTGACACGGGCGGTGAGTGTGTGTGTGTGTGTGTGTGTGTGTGTGTGGTTAGGAGATGAGGTGGATGAACAGTAGGGAGGGTGTCAGGCGCGTAGTAGGTGCTCAGGAAATGCTAGTAGGTCCACAGAATTTGAAGTATGTGCTCACATTTATCAATCATGAGGTTCCTTCCACACGAAGCCCCAAACTCCCAGCTCTATTTGAAAACACCTAAGATCTGGTGGCCGCGGCCAGCGCCCGTGGCCTGCAGGAGGAGTGGCCGCTCCAGGCGGGCACTGGGCTTCGGAACACTCTCCCTGGCTCTCTCCTGCCCTGCCCTCCCCCCCTCTGACCCTCCGGCATTCCCAGCCCCGAGCCCACCGTGCGGCCCGGCGGGAGGGGAGTTCTGGCAAGGCGTGGGCCCCGCCCTCGGCGCGCTGGGCTGGGGACCGGGGCCCTCGTGGCAGACCAGGGGCAGACGCTGCGATTGGTCCCCAGCCCGGCGCACAGCCAGCCCCGCTGACGCCCACGCCCGCCGGCAGCCCGCAGGCGCCGGCCTCGTCCGTGACTCAGGGCGCTGGGTCTCCGCCTTTGAAGTGGTGCCCGTTGGCGAGTGGACGGGGATGGTCAGACCCGAGCATTCCTGGACGCATGGAGAGCCGCCCGGCGGGCAGTGAGGGGCCGCGGGGAGAAGCCGGGGCTCGGGAGAAGCCGGGCTGGCTCTGCATCCGCGCGGCTGGGGAGTCCAGCTCTGACAGGCCACCCGGGGGCTGTACAGAGTCCCTCGTCCCTTCTCCGGATTCTCGGCATCTTCCAGCCCGCCTCCTCCAGGAAGCCCTCCGTGGTTCTCCCCGGGGTGAGGACCTTCCTCTCATCCTCATCCCCCGGTTTGCAGCCCCTTCCCGGGCCTGTGTGCCCTCGCCGCCCTCACAGCTACCCCTGGCCGGGCGGAGTGCTCCCAGCCTCACAGCCCTCGGTGCCCGCGGAGCTGGGCACTGTGCCCTCCCACGTTACAGACCGGGGCTGGGGACGTAGCAGGGGAGCGAGCAGGTGGCAGAGGGAGATTGGAATCCGGGGCTCTGACCGCAGCCCTGGCGCAGACAGCTGGCTGGCGCTGGCCCTGGTCTGCGGGGACCTCTCCTCCTGGCTCGGGTCCCGGTGAACCTCAGGGCTGGATGCGTAACAAGCCGCTCGGCGGTGCCGCTGGCCCGGGGCCTGGGCGGCCCGAGCATCTCTCCTCGATGAGGCCTGGCCCGCTTAGTGCGACCTCTGATGTTCAGGGCTGGCCGGCAGACTGCTGCTCCCTGTGACGCCTTCCCCGTCAGAACCCCCCTCTCCAGCCGGAAGCACTTTCTCTCCCCGCCCCTCCCCTCCCCCTCCCACCGCCTCTTCCCCTCCCCGCAGGGGAAGGCCTTCTGGGGAGCGATGGGCTCACACTGACGCTCACCTGCGCCCGGAGCCCCCTGCGCCCACAGCCCCCTGCGCCCACAGCCCCCTGCGCCCACAGCCTCCTGTGCTCACAGCCCCCTGCGCCCACGGCCCCCTGTGCCCACGGCCCCCTGCGCCCACGGCCCCCTGCGCCCGGAGCCCCCTGTGCCCGGAGCCCCGTGCGTCCGGAGCCCTCTGCATCCCGGGCCCCCTGCGCCCACAGCCCCCTGCGCCCACAGCCCCCTGTGCCCGGAGCCCCCTGTGCCCGGAGCCCCCTGCGCCCACAGCCCCCTGTGCCCGGAGCCCCCTGCGCCCACAGCCCCCTGTGCCCGGAGCCCCCTGCACCCACAGCCCCCTGTGCCCGGAGCCCCCTGTGCCCGGAGCCTCCTGCGCCCACAGCCCCCTGCGCCCACAGCCCCCTGTGCCCGGAGCCTCCTGCGCCCACAGCCCCCTGCGTCTGGAGCCTTGCCGTCTCGGCCCTGAGGCTGTGACCACGCTCATCCGTCAGAGCCTGGGCAGACCACGGAGCCTCCAGGAGCTTCCGTGACTGAGTCACGGATTCCTCGGAGCAGGGCCGTGGCCCGTGGCCGGCGGGAGGGGGTATTGGGCGGGGGAGCTGGAGAACATGTTCTTCCTTCGAGTCGGTTTCCCGCAGACTTTGTCTGGGCGACGAGCATGACGAGTGTTTGCTACGGGCCTGGGAGCCGGGCTGTGCTCCCTCTGCCCCGGCCGGCGCGGAGGCTGACCTGTCCCCCCAGCACGGGGCCGCCCTGTCCCCCCAGCACGGGGCCGCCCTGTCCCCCCAGCACGGGGCCGCCCTGTCCCCGGCCGGAGTGGAGGCCGCTCAGCATGGAGGCCGCCCTGTCCCCCCAGCACGGGGGCCGCCCTGTGCCCCCAGCACGGGGGCCGCCCCGTCCCCCCAGCACAGGGGCCGCCCTGTCCCCCCAGCACGGGGCCGCCCTGTCCCCCCAGCACGGGGCCGCCCTGTCCCCGGCTGGTGCGGAGGCCGCTCAGCATGGAGGCCGCCCTGTCCCCGGCCGGAGTGGAGGCCGCTCAGCTCGGGGCCGCCCTGTCCCCCCAGCACGGGGCCGCCCTGTCCCCCCAGCACAGGGGCCGCCCTGTCCCCGGCCGGCGCGGAGGCCACGGTGCCCCGTGTCTCCACGCACTAACGGTGTCTCTCTCCCCCGCAGTGAGCGACCTGCAGGAAGAAGGCAAGAATGCCATCAACTCGCCCCTGGCGCCTTCCTTGGCGGACCTGCACCCCGAGGACACACTGTTAGGTACGGTGGGCTGGTGACCCCTGACCCCGCTGTGCGCCGAGCCCGCTGTGCACGGACCCTGCTGTGCACGGACCCGCTGTGCACGGACCCTGCTGTGCACCCAGCCCGCTTAGTGCCAACCCCGCTGAGTGCCGACCCCGCTGTGCGCCGACCCCGCTGTGCGCCGACCCCGCTGCGCGCCGACCCCGCTGCGCGCCGACCCCGCTGCGCGCCGACCCCGCTGCGCGCCGACCCCGCTGCGCACGGACCCCGCCGTGCGCCGACCCCGCCGTGCGCCGACCCCGCCGCGCGCCGACCCCGCCGCGCGCCGACCCCGCCGCGCGCCGACCCCGCTGCGCACTGACCCCGCTGAGTGCCGGCCGAGCCCCCGGCGTGGCCCAGGCCTGGGGGTGGGGACGCTGGGTGGCAGCCTCCTGTTCAGAGGGCACCGGGCGCACGTGGGAGGCTGGCTCTGAGCACGAGGCCTCTGGAGGAAGGTGCCGGAGGGCCGGGAGCTGCCCTGGGTGAAGATGCAGGGAGGGGGGTGCCGCTGGGCGTGTGGGAGCCCGGGATGGGGTGCGGGCTCCTGCCGGTCTGCGTGGGAAAGGCCCTCGCGGGCGGTGGTTGGCGTGGGGATGAGCGGGCCCTGGGAGGGGCCCTCCCTCAGGTCCTCAGGCCCCAAAGTGCAGCATCAGAACACCAGACACACGAGTACCCCCCACCCCTGCAGGCTGGCTGCCCCGCGGGCCTTCGGGTGGGACCTCCAGGTGTACCCAGCTCCAGGGCCACGCCTGGCCTCACCCATCCCCCTAAAGCAGTGGTCGGCAAACTCATGAGTCCACAGAACCAACTAGCTACAGCACAACCACTGGAATTTCTCTGGAGAGCCACGTTTTTAAACTTAAGCTTCTAACGCCACTTCTTCAAAGTAGACTCCCCTAGGCGTGTTTTTTTGTGGAAGAGCCACCCTCACGGGGCCAAAGAGCCGCAGTTTGCCGACCACGGCCTTAAAGCGTGCTGTGGGCCCCGCTCGCTCGGAGGGCAGCGGCGGAACATTCCGTCTGTTCCCCAAGCCCGGTTCACAGGGAGGTCCCGGCGGCGGCCACCGCTGTGGTTCCACATCACGGCGGTCAGCGAGGGCTCTGGGCAAGGCCAGGGCCTGGCCTCTCCCTGGGCCCGGGGCCCCGGCTCCTCCCTCCTCTGGGCAGAGTGCGCCTCCTGTGGTCCAGCTGCTCAGGGCCCCGGGGGGCTGTCCGAGGGGGTGTCAGGTCAGCCTCTCCTCCTCGGTGCCACGCTGGCCGGCACTGGGTAAGCTGGCACATGCCAGCTGGCACCGCCTAAGCCCGTGGCGTGGGGTCGTCCTGGGTCAGCGTCCCCGGCCTCTGCCCAGCAGCAGCCCGCCCCCTCCCGCGGGGACCGGTCCGTCCTAGCTGAGAACCTGGGACCAGCAGGGGGAGGGAGTGGAGTCGCCTTAGCGTGTGCCAGGCTGTTGTCTGGTCAACGATGCCTCCAGCCTGCTTCTCCCCGGGCCCTGCCCCTGCCCCTGCCTCTGCCCCTGCCCCTGCCCCTGCCCCTGCCCCTGCCCCTGCCCCTGCTTCTCCCCGGAACCTGCCCCTGCCCCTGCCCCTGCCTCTGCCCCTGCCTCTGCCCCTGCCCCTGCCCCTGCCCCTGCCCCTGCTTCTGCCCCTGCCCCTGCCCCTGCCCCTGCCCCTGCCCCTGCCTCTGCCTCTGCCCCTGACTCTGCCCCTGCCCCTGCCTCTGCCCCTGACTCTGCCCCTGCCTCTGCCCCTGACTCTGCCCCTGCCCCTGCCCCTGCCCCTGCCTCTGCCTCTGCCCCTGCCCCTGCCCCTGCCTCTGCCCCTGCCCCTGACTCTGCCCCTGACTCTGCCCCTGCCCCTGCCTCTGCCCCTGCCTCTGCCCCTGCCCCTGACTCTGCCCCTGACTCTGCCCCTGCCCCTGCCTCTGCCCCTGCCCCTGACTCTGCCCCTGCCCCTGCCCCTGCCCCTGCTCCGCCCCTGACCCTGCCCTTTGTCCCGGCAGAGGAGAATGAGGAGCGCACGATGATCGACCCCACCTCCAAGGATGACCCCAAGTTCAAGGAGCTGGTCAAGGTGAGGAGGGAAAGGAGCCGAGCCAGGGGCTGGGGAGGGGCTTGATGCTGCGCTCGGGAGGCTGGGAGGTGAGGAGGCTGATGGAGGACGAGGTCAAGGTCACGGTCACAGCGTGGACACTCCCAGGTCCCCCTTCACTGGTGCCTTTCCTTTAAAAACATTTTTTGGTTAATTCCGTCGATTCTTAGAGAGTGGAGGGAGGGGAGAGACAGGGAGACACATTGGTGAGTTGCCCCCCACACCTGCCCCGCCTGGGGCTGGGGAGGAGCCTGCAACCGAGGGACGTGCCCTGGACTGGATCGAACCCACGACCCTTCAGTCCTCAGGCCGATGCTCTAACCACTGAGCAAGCCATCCAGGGCTCAGCGGGCCTTTGAAACCCTGGCTCACTCTGCGTCGGGCAGAGGAGCGGCTGGAGGGAGGGGCCGCGCCCGGGCGTGGGGGGCTCGGAGGCAGCGCCCGGGGCGGGCGTGTGAGCCCTCGCTGCTCCCGCTCCACACCGGCCGGTGGACTCCCTGGTCCGGGCGGACGGCCAGCCTCACAGCGACTGGAAGTGCTGGCCAGAGAGGGGCCTGAGGGCCAGAGAGGAGCCTGAGGGCCAGGGAGAGGGGCCTGAGGGCCGGGGAGAGGGGCCTGAGGGTCAGGGAGAGGGGCCTGAGGGCCAGAGAGCAGCCTGAGGGCCCGGGAGAGGGGCCCGAGGGCCCGGGAGAGGGGCCCCAGGGCCAGAGAGAGGGACCTGAGGGCCGGGGAGAGGGGCCTGAGGGCCGGGGAGAGGGGCCTGAGGGCCAGAGAGGAGCCTGAGGGCCAGGGAGAGGGGCCTGAGGGCCGGGGAGAGTGGCCTGAGGGCCAGGGAGAGGGGCCTAAGGGTCTGGGAGAGGGGCCTGAGGCCAGGGAGAGGGGCCTGAGGGCCAGAGAGCAGCCTGAGGGCCCGGGAGAGGGGCCCGAGGGCCCGGGAGAGGGGCCCCAGGGCCAGAGAGAGGGACCTGAGGGCCGGGGAGAGGGGCCTGAGGGCCGGGGAGAGGGGCCTGAGGGCCGGGGAGGCGGGGCTGAGGGCCAGAGAGACGGGGCCCCAGGGCCGGGGAGAGGGGCCTGAGGGCCGGGGAGAGGGGCCTGAGGGCCAGGGAGAGGGGCCTGAGGGCCGGGGAGAGGGGCCTGAGGGCCGGGGAGAGGGGCCTGAGGGCCGGGGAGAGGGGCCTGAGGGCCGGGGAGAGGGGCCTGAGGGCCGGGGAGAGGGGCCTGAGGGCCGGGGAGACGGGGCTGAGGGTCAGGGAGAGGGGCCTGAGGGCCGGGGAGAGGGGCCTGAGGGCCGGGGAGAGGGGCCTGAGGGCCGGGGAGAGGGGCCTGAGGGCCGGGGAGACGGGGCTGAGGGTCAGGGAGAGGGGCCTGAGGGCCGGGGAGAGGGGCCTGAGGGCCGGGGAGAGGGGCCTGAGGGCCGGGGAGGCGGGGCTGAGGGCCGGGGAGAGGGGCCTGAGGGCCGGGGAGGCGGGGCTGAGGGCCGGGGAGAGGGGCCTGAGGGCCGGGGAGACGGGGCTGAGGGCCCGGGAGAGGGGCCTGAGGGCCAGGGAGAGGGGCCTGAGGGCCGGGGAGAGGGGCCTGAGGGCCGGGGAGAGGGGCCTGAGGGCCGGGGAGAGGGGCCTGAGGGCCGGGGAGACGGGGCTGAGGGCCGGGGAGACGGCTCTGGAGCCGCAGCAGCAGCGCAGGCTCCAGAGCCACAGCCAGGACGGCACTCTGCTCGGCCGCCGCACCTGCTCCCGGGCGGGGCCGTGTCGGCCGGCGTGTCCCGGCAGGAAAGTTTCGCTCGAAGTGCTTTCTGTGAGTTTCTCCCGCCCCCTGCGCGGCCGTGCGGCTGTGTCTCCGGGGCTGACCGCAGGCCCGGCCTAAGAACAGACGGGAAATGGCAGTGTGAGGACCCGCCCACCGGTGTGGACCCCAGTTTAGTTTTTACGGTTTCCCCCCCGAGAACCCGAGATGCTGCTCAGACCGAGTGTCGGTGAGGAGAGGGGCCTTCCAGCCCCAGGCCGGCAGGGAGGGCCGGGCGGTGATGGGGGGGGGGCGTGTCGGGGATCCGGAGAGCAGAGCAGGGCGTGGGCTGCTCTGTGGGTGGCTTCATCTCCTTCCCAGGTCTGCGACCGCCTCGCCTGGCTGTCAGCCTCTTCCTCCTCCTCGGTCCCCGGGAGGCAGGCCGCCGAGGGGAACGCCCCCCGGGGCAGAGGGGGCGCTGTCAGCGCTGGGGAGACGCCGGGAGGCGTTCTGGCGCCGCCCCGGGCCCGGACCCCGTCTCAGGACTCGGCGGCCACGGGCAGTTTGGCCGAGTTAAAACGTAGCTGTCATCGCTGCAGGGAGAGAGGCCCGGCCCGGTGATCATCGGGAGGAACTAAAGGGAACGTGATTTTTATTCTGGTTTCAGCGAGCTCGTCACGCTCGTGTGCCCAGAGCAGGCGCCCAGGGCGTCGCTGAGATCCGTCCTCGGCCCACGCCGGCAGCTCCGTGGCTCGCAGTTGAGGACGCCCCCAGAGGAAAGGGCCAGGGAGCGGGGGATGAGGAGGGGTGAGCCGGGAGGGCGGCAGGCAGACCGGCGGGCACTGTGCTGGCCCCGGAGCTGGGTGACCCGGCCTGAGGGCGGAGCTGGTTTCCCTCCTGTCTGGCTGTGGTTTGTGTTTGGCCTTTAAACTGGGTTCGAGATCCAGACGGAATCTGGGGGCTTTAGCGTCCTCGGGGGAGCGGCCTCTGCCCGGGTCTCCCCGCAGGACTGCGCCCCGGGCACGGCAGCCGCGGGGCCCCAGCCCTCCCCGGTCTGGTTCGGGCACCTTCCTGGTCTGTCCCACGTCCAGCCCTGGGGAGGTGGCGCCAGCTGCCCCGGGCGCCGGCTGAGGGGTGTGTCCGGCGTCTGCACTCACTGGCCTCGCGTTCCCCCTCACGCCCGTCCTGACCGAGAGCCTGTGAGTGTCTCTAATGTCCGGTTGGAGCGTGAGGAGCCCAAGGACACAGGCCCCCGGCTTTTCTATTCAGGGCCTGGCGCATAGTAGCTGCTCCGTAAACTAACTAATTCCCTGGCTCGCTCTCTGAGTACGGAGCTCCAGGGCCAAGCAGCGAGCACCGGGTGCTGGGGACAGAGCCACAGGCACACGGCCTGAGTCCCCGCCTTCGAGAACTCCCAGTCCCACCGGGGAGTCTCTGTAAGCAGCACGAGAGGCCCACAGCGCGGAGATCCATGCAGGAGGGGCCTCCCTCCCCCTGGCTGCTGGCTCCGCCTTCGCTCCAGCCGGGAGCCGCCTTCCTGCCTCCCCACGCTGCCGGGAGGCCTGGGGCAGCTGGTGGTGCAGGATTCACGCCCTTTCATTCCTCTCCCAGAGCGGCATGAACTCCCGTTCCCCGAGGTTCTGGGCGCCCGTTAGGTAGTGTTATGAGGTGGCTACCTGTTTCTGAGGGAGCCTGCTCAGGTGTCCGTTTTGCCCATTTATTTGTGGGGAAACACACCCTCAGAGGACGGGGTGCAGAGAGGCTGTGCGGGGGTGATGGGGTCACAGCCCGGCCGGCGGGGGTGACAGGGTCACGGGCCCGGCCGGCGGGGCGCGGGCTGAGCATCGGCCTGTGAGCAGGAAGGCTGCCCGCGGCGCCAGGCAGGGCACGTGCCCAGGAGGCGGGTTCGATCCCCGTGTGGGGCGCGCAGGAGGCGGCCGCTCAGTGACTCTCTCCTCATTGACGTTTCTCTCTCCCTCCCTTCTTCTCTCTGAAGTCAATACTAACCACGACACAAAACAAACAAACACATCACGCTCAGTGAAAGGACCCAGACATACAAGGTCACGTGTCACCTGACTCCATTGGATGAAACGTCCGGAACAGACAAATCCGTGCGGGGGCAGACAGCTGGGTGGTGGGAAGACACGGGGGCGGGGCTGGGGAGTGACTATGGACAGGTCCGGGTTTCTTTTCGGGGTGACGAGGGTGCCCTTCGGGGGTCACACGGCGTTGGATGGCGGTGTGGGTGCTGGGAACGCTGGCTCTCTCACTCAGAGCAGCGGGTATGGGGTGTGACTGTGCCTATGAAGCTGCAGAGAGAGCAGGAGCTCAGAGCTTGGGGAGCCTTTGGGGTCCCCTTCTCTCAGCTTTGGGGTCAGGCTTTGGGTGTTCGGGACTGTCCTGGTGCGGATCTGACGGGAGGGAGGGGACGGACATCTTAGCCCCCCCGGACTGCCTGGGGCACGCGGGCAGTGCTGCTCACAAAGACCATGGTTAGCAGGTGCCATCCCTCCTTTGGCTGAGGGCCCTCCCTGAGTCACCGCCCGGAGGAGGCCTGTCTGGGTGGCTCTCGTGAGCTTCCTCGGGGGCCTGGCAGCCGGGGGCCAGCCCCTCCGGCCCCTCCCCGGGCCCCTGTGCTGAGGCCGTCCTGATGGCCAGTGTCCAGCAGCTCATGTCTCCTGCGGCAGCTCTGCCCGCTGCCTGGTCCGGGGCGCTGCTGAGCTGGCCTTGTGCCCCCAGGTTCTCATCGACTGGATCAACGAGGTGCTGGTGGAGGACAGGATCATCGTGAAGCAGCTGGAGGAGGACCTGTTCGACGGGCAGGTGCTGCAGAAGCTGCTGGGTGAGTCCGGAGGGCGGCCCGGCCCCCCTCCCCGCCGAGGGCCCGGCACAGGCGGCCCCGGCCCCCTCCCCGCCGAGGGCCCGGCACAGGGCGGCCCCCTCCCCACAGAGCGCCCGGCACAGGGCAGCCCCGGCCCCCTCCCCGCAGAGGGCCCGGCACAGGGAGGGCCTGGCACAGGCGGCCCCGCCTGGGCCATGGGGGTCTCTCCATGGTGGCGTCGGTCACACGTCCTGGGAGGGGACTTGGGGCTCAGCGCTGAGCCCGCGGCTGCCAGGCAGTGTCCGGGGCGTGGGCTTCAGGTCACGTGTGTGTCCTCCGTGGTGGTTCCATGGGAGCTCCCAGCCACGGCTGGGCGGGCACCGCAGATTCCAGACCGCCGCCGGCAGCTGCTGTGCGCTGGTCCCCTGGGGGCGGGGGGGGCGGGGGTGGGGCGCCCGGCCAGGGCGGGTGGTCCTCTCCCCGCAGACGCCCCTCCCCCTCGGAGCTGCGGCCCCATTGGCCTCTCCGGCCTCGCTCACCTGGGGCGGAGGGGGGGCGGGGGGAGCGGAGACACGGGGGGACGGAGGGGGAGGGGACGGCGCCTGGCGCACAGTAGGTGCTCAGCCACCGTGTTACGCGTGGTGAGTGAGGGAACCGAGCCCGCGGGCGGTTATGATGGGGGACCTCAGGGACCCCAGTCTGTGTCCTCGTGGGGGCGGGAGGGCCCGGGAGAGAACCTGCCTGCCCCGCGCCTCAACCCATTGGTCCGTTTTATGTGCAAAGACCGTCCCCCAGGGGGCGGCACGGCGTTCCCCTCGCTCCGGCCCTCTCCGTCCGAGCCGCGCTCTCAGGAGCCGGGTTCCGGGCTCACCGGCCCCCAGCCCCGCTGCGGCAGGGGACGGCTCCACCTCGGACCCGGACCCGTGGGGAGGGACCTCAGAGCCGCTGAGCTGAGCAGGCGGCGGCCTGGGCTCTGCTGACACCGCCCTCCGCTGCCCTGCAGAGACGCTTGCGGGCTGCAGGCTGAACGTGGCCGAGGTCACACAGACGGAGATGGGGCAGAGGCAGAAGCTGCAGACGGTGCTGGAGGCCGTGCAGGAGCTGCTGCGGCCCCACGGCTGGGCGCTGCCCTGGACGGTGGACGGTGAGCGCGCGGGGGGGGGGGGGGGGGGGGCGTGTGCGGGGGGGGGCGTGTGCGGGGGGGGCGTGTGCGGGGAGGGCGTGTGCGGGGAGGGCGTGTGCAGGGGGGGGGCGTGTGCAGGGGAGGGGCGTGTGCGGGGGAGGGGCGTGTGCAGGGGGAGGGCGTGTTCAGGGGGAGAGCGTGTGCAGGGGGAAAGTGTGTGCAGGGGGAGGGTGTGTGCAGGGGGAGGGGCGTGTGCAGGGGGAGGGTGTATACAGGTCCAGGGGCAGCATGCTGCTCCTCCCCCTGCACACGCCCCTCCTCCTCGGAGCTGCAGCCCCAGTGGGCTCTCCGGCCTCGCTCACCTCTCCCCGCCTCCCCGCACACGGGCTGGTGGACGGTGATACTGTCTGTACTGATAACAGGAACATGCACACTGTCCGGGATGTCATCACACACTGTCCTGCCCCTGCTCAGGCCACTGGGAGTGGCTGGGACAAGAAGGGATGAGAAAGGAGAGGAGAGGAGGGCCAGCCTGCATGCAGACAGGCCGGAGGAGAAACAGAAATACAGAGAAGGAACAAGGGAAAGATTCAGGAATGGAAACGGGAAGGAAACCGGGGCTGCGTGAGGAAGGGGGTGGGGACCGAGGGGTGGGCTCAGGCGCACAGAGCAGGGAGCCCGGCCCAGACGTGGGGGAGGGCGGTGGCCCGGTGCGGGCTGTTGGGGTGGAGGGTGGACAGTCTGAGGCCTCCCGGGCAGAAGCGCTGGCAGCGTCCAGGCCGCACGGGCCTCGGCCACCCTCCCTGGCCGGGCGCCCCACGCTGGGTGGGGGGAGTCGGACACTAAGGAGGGGACTGCCTTCATCCCCGAGGGCTGGACCCCAAAGACACTGGCCAGGGGTAGGTTGGTGGCGCGTTAGCTGTACTTTGTTGACTAGAAGTTGGGGCGTCCGGGACTGGGAGGAGGATGGTGGGGAGGCTGGTTGGGGGGGGGAGGCTGGGCTGGGGGTTAACATCCCCCGGAACGGAAGCTTAAATATCGAAGTGCGCTCAGTGGGGCTGGCAGCAGGTCCCGGAGAGGAAGGGGGAGGTTTAGAAGAGAAACCAGTGAACATGGCGGGGCAGGGGGTGGGGGGTAATAACAGGGAAGGAGGGAGGGAGGCAGGGTCAGGCTCACAAGGGAAAGTGGGATGAGGGGAGGGTGGGAGGAGTAAGCAGGAGACAGACGGGGGATGAAGGGAAAGCAGGGAGGAGGGAGGGAGGGAGGGAGGGAAAGCAGGGCAGGGAAGGATGCTAAAATGGGGTGAGGCCAGAAAAACAGCTAAATATAAAGGAGAAACAGAGTGTGAGGGTGAGGGAGTGTAAACGGAGGAGTCAGTAAGAAAAGTAGTACAGGGCGATGTTTAAAAATGTAGCCGGACGTCCCCTGAGGGCCGCCGGACTGTGGAAGGGCGCCATCTTGGCTGAGCACCCCCTCCGCGCAGGAATTCTGTGCTCTGGACCTCTAGTTTAGATCAGAGAGGCTCCCTTCCCAGGAGCGACCTTGCTGGGCACACGCGTGCAGGCCTTGGACGTGCTGATTAAGGTTCCCATGCTCGGACTGGCCGTGGCCGCCCGGCGCACTCTCAGCAAGGTGCACTTGATTCGCCGTGGCTGTCCGGTGCCCGGCCTGGCTCCCACAGGCGGGAGTTCAGGTTAGAAGACAGACGCCATCTGTGTGTGTGTGTGTGTGTGGGGGGGGGGATTGGGGAGTCTTGCAGGGGACTCAGCCCCAGACACCAAAGGCAGCAAACGTGGGGCCTCAGGGAAAACCCAGGGAAAACCCGCCGGCCGAGGAGATGGGCTGGGTCCCTACAGAACCGGCTACAGCGGCTCCTCTCCCCCTCCCCCCCCCCCCCAGCCATCCACGGGAAGAACCTGGTGGCCATCCTGCACCTGCTGGTGTCGCTGGCCATGCACTTCCGGGCGCCGATCCGCCTGCCCGAGCACGTCTCCGTGCAGGTGGTGGTCGTGCGGGTGAGTATCGCGGGCGCGTCCCCCTGCCCCTCCCGCCCCAGTCTGTTTCTCCGTCTGACACACCTACACCCGCGGCGGCTGTGAGAGCGGCCAGGGCCGGAGCCACGGCCCCACGCGGGAGGCGGAGCCGGAGCCGGAGGGCGGAGGGCTAGAGAGCCGGGGGACACCCGTGGCTCAGAGCTGAGGCGGGGGTTTACTCCGAGGCTGACTGGTCGTGCGGAGGGATGGGCGGGGGCACCGGGTCCCAGGGGCAGCCGGGCCTCCCCCCTGCGCGGGGCCGCCCCGCCCCCGCGGGTCCTGTCACTGCCCCCGGGAGTGGCCCCGGCCCGGCCCTCTGAGGGTCCTGCGGGTGAGGCCCCGGCGCCGGGCTGGTGTGGGCAGTTCGGTCCAGGTCGCGGCTGCTAAGCACCTACTGTGCGCCTGGTACTGCCACACGCTGGCGTCCGCCCGCAGGAGCAGCCGCTTCTGCCAAGGTCGAGGTGGCACTCAGAACCGGATGTCTTCAGTATTATTTTATTTTTATTAGTTTTTAATCCTTACCGGAGGATTTTTTTCCATTGATTTTTAGAGAGAGTGGAAGGGAGGAAGAGAGACAGAGAGAGGTGGGGGGGGGGGGGAAGGACATGAACCGGTTGCCTCCCACGTGCACCCCAACAGGGGTGGGGATTGAACTTGCAACCCAGCCGTGTACCCCTGACCGGGAATCGAACCTGTGACCCTCACGTCCACCGGCTGGTGCTCTAACCACTGGGCAGCCGGCCAGGGCTGTTTGTTTCACTGAGACGCCCGGCTCCACGCTCCCCTCTGGGGTGTGAACGCCCAGGGCCCGTGGGGTCTGGCCTGCCAGGCTCTGGCTGATCCTGCGTCTCCCAAAACTGCGCCCCCCCCCCCCGGGGGCTTGGCCCTGACCTGAGAGGTGAGAATGCCCTGCTGTTAAAAAGGAAAAAACCGAACAAAATGTATGGATTGGTTTTGGGGGGGGCATTGACTGAGAGAGAGGGAGAGAGAGAAGGAGAGGGAGAGGGGGAGAGATAGAGAGAGAGGGAGGGGGAGAGGGGGAGAGGGAGAGAGGGAGGGAGGGAGGGAGGGGGAGAGAGAGGGGGGGGGTATGGACTGGCTGTTCTGCTCATTCATTGGTTGACTCATATGTGCCTGACCCAGGATGGAACCCACAACCTTGTCGAAGTTCCAATCCACCGGGCCCCCGGCCAGGGCCCAGAGCCCTCTCCGGCATCGGGGCGGGGGGCGGGGGGCGGGGGGGGGGCTTTGCGTCCTGCGGAGCGTGCTGTGGCGCAGGGCGTCCTGGCCGCCCGCAGAGGCCGCCTGAGGACACGCGGGAACTCGCTCCCAGTCCGCACGTCAGACCGGGCCAGGAGCGGGCATTTCCTGTCGGCCGGCCGGGTAATTGGGGTGTTTCCATGCGGCCGGTAATGGGGTATTTCCTTCCAGGCTGCCCTTGCAGGGAACTCTGGGGTTTGCGGAGCTTGCCTGACCCGGCAAGCACGAGCTGGCATGCTCCGCGCCGGGGTCCGGGCAGGAGGCCCGGGGCCGCGGCCAACGCCGGGCGGGGCGGGCGGGCAGGCGTCTGTGAGCTGCTGTTGCACCCGGGACCTGCCTCTCGGGCCTTTGATGGGAAAGTGAGTCGGTGTTCAAGCCCCCGGGGCTCCCCGAGAGGAGACAGGGTGGTGCCCCGAGAGAGCCGCCAGCGCCCGGGGGGGCACGTCGGGGACAGGAGCCCAGGACGGGCGCTTGGGTCCTGGGTCCTGGGAGGAGTCCATGGGGCTGCCCAGCAGGGAGGGGCTCCGGCTCAGGAGGGGCTGGTGGTGGGGGTGGGTTAGCTGGCCGCCAAGCTCCAATGACATACAGGCTCCCTGCCCCCCACCACCCCGTCCTCCCTCACGCCCCCCACACCTCCCCGTCTCCCCGCCGTCATGCCCTCACATGCCAGGCACCAGGGAAAGTGTGCCACACGCGTGTCATTGTCCTGCAGCTGCTCTAACAAAACGCCACCAAGGAGCTGCTTTAAAACCACGGACACTGGGGCGGGGCGGGGGGGCAATGTTAAAACATGTACACAGATGATAATTTAATAAAAAATAAATAAAACCACGGACATGGGCCCCCCGGTGCGGCGCCGTGCTTGAGCGTCGACCTGTGAGCCAGGAGGTCACGGTTCGATTCCCGGTCAGGCCCATGTGCCCCGGCTGCAGGCTCAACCCCCAGTGCGGGGCATAGAGGAGGCAGCCGGTCCATGGCTCTCTCTCCTCATGGGTGTTTCTCTCTCCCTCCTCTTTGTCTCTAAAGTCAATAAGAACATTTTTTTAAAAATTAAAAAGTAAAACAACGGCCGTTTACTTTTCAGTGAGGAGGGGAGGCCTGGTGAGGGGGGGCGGCTGCGACCGGCTCTGTCCTGGGGCCAGGGGTCCTGGGCTGTGGGCAAACCTGTCCGGTGTCGGCTTCGTTGTCACGTGGCCTCTCTCCTGTGTCCGTCTGTCTGTCTCCACGGTCCCTCCTGGCCACGGCCTGGCCATGTCCACCGGAGAACCCCCAGGTCCCCTGTGGCCTCCTCTTCGCAATGGTTTCTGCAGAGACCCTGCTTCCAACGGGCTCCGAGGGGACCCGACTGGGGTCCCGTCAGCCCGGGGGGGCCGTCAGCCCGGGGGCCGTCGCCCGGGGGCCCGTCGCCCGGGGGGGCCGTTGTCTGGGGGCTGTCAGCCCGGGGGGGGGCCATCAGCCCGGGGGCCGTCAGCCTGGGGGGCCGTCGCCCGGGGGGCCAGTCAGCCTGGGGGCCCGTCAGCCTGGGGGGCCGTCGCCTGGGGGGGCCCAATGCCCAGGGGCCCGTCAGCCTGGGGGGCCAGTCAGCCTGGGGGCCCGTCAGCCTGGGGGGCCGTCGCCTGGGGGGGCCCAATGCCCAGGGGCCCGTCAGCCTGGGGGGCCAGTCAGCCTGGGGGCCCGTCAGCCCGGGGGCCCGTCAGCCATGCTGCTGGGTCACCTCCCTGGCTGCCTCCCCGCGGTCCTGTGTGTCTCCGGCCCCTCTCCTCCGGTGCGGGTGTGGCGTGAGGGGCCCCATGGGAGCTGGGGTCTCGCGAGCCCCCAAAGCTGCCAGCTCTGGAGCAGCGTGGAGAGCTGGGGGGTGCGGCTTCCAGCCCCCGGAGGGACTCTGCCTGAGGCCCGGGGGCTGGATGCTCTGCACGACTCAGCCCGCGCCGTCCCTCGCTGCCCCCTCAGCCAGCACAGGGGGGCGGCCATGGGCCCGTCCGCACCGCCTCCTCGCCTATTGCGCGCTCGCCCGCGTGCTCACGTGTGCGCTTGGGTTTTCAGAAGCGGGAAGGCCTGCTGCACTCCAGCCACGTCATCGAGGAGCTGACCACCACCACCGAGTAAGTGGCCGCTGCGGGGGCCTGCCCGCAAGTCCCTCCCTCCCCTCCCCTGCCCTCCCCTCCCATCCCCTTCCCTCCCCTCTCCTTCTATCCCTTCTCTTCCCCTCCCCTCCGGCCCCTTCCCTCCCTTCCCAACCCCTCTCCTTCTCTCCCCTCCCTCCCCTCCCCTCTCCTCCCCTCCCCTCCCCTCCCCTCCCTTCCCCTCCCCTGATCTCCTTTGCCCTCCCCTCCCCTCCTCTGCCTTCTCCTTCCCTCCCCTCCCATCCCCTCTCCTTCCCCTCTCCTCCCCTCCCCTCCCCTGCTCTCCTTTGCCCTCCCCTCCCCTCCCATCTCCTCTCCATCCCTCCTCTCCCCTCCCCTCCCCTCTCCCCCTCCCTGTGGCGGTGGTGTTTTCTCACGGCGTGGGCCTGGCCTCACGGCGTGCACACGCGTGCTTCGGTCTGTCCTCTCTGTTGATGAGGACGGCAGGGTGGCGGTGTGGTTGGGGTTGGCATGAGGGTCCAGATCTGTTACTCCTTCCCACGTAGAAAATGAGCGGACACGGGTGGCGTGGGTGTCCGACCGCACAGGGGCCACCTGAGATCTTTGTGGGACAAGGCAGACGACCCTGTATAATAACAGGCTGGTATGCAAACTGTCCCCTTGACTGGGAGTTCAGCAACAGGGCGGGCAGGCCGGCCTGCTGTCCAAGGCTCCTCCCTGGCTGGCCCCACCCGTCGGCCCCCACCGCGCCCATGAGGGATGGGGCTGTCGGCTAACCTCCCGTGTCCCTCCTCCTGGCTGGCCTGGCCCAATCAGCCCCATCGGGCGTGCCTGCCAGGCCCCATCCGTGCACGAGTTTGTGCTCCAGGCCTCTAGCCATAAGTAAAAACACAGCTGATCATGTTCAACATCCCTCAACAGGAAGGAAGGGAGGAAGGAAATCTCACACTGACAGAGCAGGTGTGGGAAAGCACTTGCCGTAACTCCCCAGAGCCGAGGGCTCTTCACCTGGTGGCGGAAGGCGGGCCTCCAGGCAGCGGAGAGGGAGGGAGTGGGCGTTGGGAGGCTCAGGGACACCCAGCCTCCGTTAATTTACCATCCACACTGGCTCTGTCTGAGGGGGAGCCTTCTGTTTCTTCAGCCTCCTCCTCGCCTCCCGTCCAGCCTCAGCATCCTCCCATGCCTCTCTCCGGCCAGCTCTGCGGCCACCGCCTACAGGGAGCCCTCCCTGCTTGCAAGCAGGCGTGACTGCCTTCCTTTAGCTTCCACCGCGCCTCCTGCCTGTCACACGGAGGGTGGGAATGTGGGCTCCGCGTCTCTGTCAGTCCCAGCGTCACGGGCACAGGGCCAGGGTGTCTGTGTCTCCGCAGCCCCCATGTCAGAGATGCTCAGGAAACAGCTGCCGAGTGAGGGGCAGGCAGAGGACGCGAGTCCAGCGGACGGGGGACGGAGTGAGCATCGCTTGCCTGTCCGGAAGGGGTGCAGTGGGGAGGGGCTGTGCATTTGTGCCCCAGAAATCCTCAAGGCGAAGTGGGGTGCCCACCCTCCGTGGCTCTGTCCCGGCCCGGGCTCCTGGGGACCCTCAGGTCACTCAGGGGTGGGCTCCTGGGAGCTGTTCCCGGTGCAGAGCTGCCGCCAGGGCTGCCCGGAGGCCGAGCAGCTGGCACATGCTCCACGTGGACCCTCCAGGATGTACCCCCATCCCCCACCCCACCCCCGCGACCACAGGGCGGCTCAGGTGCCGGTGATTTGCGGCCCAGGGGGCACCCCGTGTGGCCACGCTTTACAAACAGCCCTCAGTGGGCGTTCCCGCCTGATTTCCAGTCACCCCAGCGCCTCCAGCAGGCCGGGCTGCGGTGAGCGGCCCCTCGGACACGTGTCTCTGGCGTGTCTCTCTCTCTGACGTGTGTCTCTGGCGTGTCTCTCTCTGACGTGTGTCTCTGGCGTGTCTCTCTGACGTGTCTCTCTCTGACGTGTGTCTCTGACGTGTCTCTGTCTCTCGTTTGCAGGCAGATGATGGGCCGGTTTGGTGAGTAACCCGGGGCCGGTGTGGGTGGGGGTCTGGGGGGCTGGGCTGCCCCAGGAAGCCCCCCGGTTCACGCAGTCACGCGGGGAGTCCTGGGCCCCGTGGAAGCCTGGCTCCCGGCGGGCCCTGCCGTGGCCGTGGCTGCTCTTGGCGCCGGGAGGGCCGGGGCGGGGAGTGCCGGAGGCAGGAGGATGGGAGTGTCCGGGCGGCACTTGCTCTCACCACAAGGCCTGGGACGGAGCAGAAACCAGGACAAGGGGAGGGTGGGCTGTGGCACTTGGACGGAGCCCCATTAGCCCGGAGGACCATCCTCCAGGGAAATGCCTAGTGTTTCACCCCAAAACCTCCAGCTCATGGCTTCCTTGGGGTCGGCAACCTGGGCTCCGGGCCCGCCGGGCACCGCCGGCCTGCTCCCTGCCCTCTCTGGTCCTGGCCTGGGACATGGGTTTGGCCCCCGTGAGCTGCTGGGTGTGTGCCCACGGGGCCGGCCCCGCTCTTCCCGTGGGGCTGTGGTTCCTGTGAGTTTGCGTGCTGTTCCCGCCCTGCTGCAGCCCCACGACCTGCCTTCCCCTCAGCGAGGGAGGGGGGAACAGGGGCAGCAGGGGGCATCGGCCTGTGTTCTCCAGCGAGGGGGGCGGGAGCGTGGCTGTGAGAAGGAAACTCGGACCCGAGTGGGAGCTCCTAGTGTGCCTCGGGGCCGGCCCACGGCTGGGGGCCGTCCCCTCGCTTGGCCCCGGCTCACAGCCCGGGGGCCTGGGCCTGGGGTGCATGACGCTCCTGTGGGAACAGCTGTCGGTCCTCCGAGGCCGGGGTGTGAGGAGAGGCAGCAGCCGGGGCCTTTGCCTCGGGGCGTCCCGTCTCCTGTGCCCTGAGCAGCAGGGCAGGCCGTGCTGCTGTTTTTATTGTTAATTTAAAAGGTGGGCGCAGAGGCCAGCTGCTGAGGGCGCCGGGCAGCTGTGGGCAGTGCAGCCGGGGCCCACGGGGGACGCCCCCGTAGACTGGCCTCCTGGCAGCCCGGCCTGCCTGTTGGGGTGGAGGCCGCCCTGTCCTTCCTGCCCCGAGGGCCGGGCGTGGGCGGTGGGGCACAGGCTGAGCAGTGGGACCCCGGGCGTTGTGAACTGTGGTCCGTGGTTTTCTCTGCCACGTCCGTGTCGGCCGGCCTGGTGGGAGGCGGGGGGGGGGAGGGGAAGAGGGGGACCTGGGGGCTGTGCGTCCTCGGTGGACGGGCGCGGGTGCCGCTGGGCGGTGAGCGCAGGGAGGGCGTGCGGGGGCAGGCTGCACGTACACAGCGGCTTGGCCTCATTCCTCGGCGGGCTCCTGCGGGCGCGATGCCAGCCGGCCGGCCGCAGTGGGTGGCACAGTCAGCTGGTCCCCGGGGCTGTGCTGACGCACTCGGGTCTCCTGGTTACCGGGCGCAGCCTCTGCGGTGCCCTCAGCCCGCCACAGGCCCGGGCTCCCTGACGCACCCCTGCTCCCCTCATCCCCCGTCACCACCTCCACCTCCTTTAAGACAAAGCCCGGCCCTAGATCCTAGCGGTAGCTTTCAGGTCCTGCGGCCACACCCTCCCCTGCTCGCCTGCTGGCTCCCCTGCCCTCCGGCCCCCGGGGCCCCCGCTCTGCACCTGGCTCGCTCTCCCTCTGCGGGGCCTCCCGACCTCCTGTGGCCACCCCTGTCCCTCCTTTGCTCACGGCTCTGCTCCCCACGCCATGGCACTCACCTGGGCCCTGCCCCGAGTGCAGACATGGGACCAGACAGCGTAGGGACCCAGCCCCCCTTTCTGAGCGGTGAGCGTCCTGGGGGGGAGCCGGGCTCCCTCACCGCAGTGCCAGGAGGCATTGCCCAGGAGCTCGGAACCCGGGCAGACCTCCGTGGCCGAGGTTCCCCAGCTCCCCTCGGGGTCCCCCGCCCCCCAGCTTCCCGAGAAGCGTGTTCTCTGCCTCAGTGTCTCACATCGGCACTCCGGGCGAGGGGGGGGGTCCTCTGGCCGCCTGCCCTGCCCCCCCACTCTGGCCTCCTCCCTCTTCTCCTCTCCCCAGAGGAGCTGGGGAGCTGCAGCCTGGTCTCCATGGCAACCGGATGCTGCCTGCCCGTCTCCAGGCACCCCTCCCCCTCCCCCTCCCCCTCTGGGCCCCTTCCCGTGAGGGGAGCTGGGAGAAGCTCCCCCCTCCGACCCCTCCCCGCCACACCCCCCTCCGCCCGGAGAGAGTTCACGGCCTCGGCCCTGGCTGCCTCCGGACCCGGGCAGCAGGAAGAGGGAAGGGGCCGGAACAGAGGTAACGGCAGCTGCCCGGCGGCCCCTGTTGGGGGCAGGGGGCGGTGGGTCTGAGCCCACACTCCAGGCCCACAGCGGCCGGGTGATGCCCCGTGGGAATGCTGCCCCGGCCCCAGTGCCTTCGAGCAGCCAGGGTTCAGGGCTGTGGGCAAAGCTTCCAACGTAAACAAAACAAAACAAAAAACACAAAAAACGTCGTCTGGACCAAACGGGCCGTCCCTGAGGGAGGAGGGCAGCAGGCCCGGGCTGCTCGAGTCGCTGCGGCCCCTCTGTGCCTCGGTTTACCCTCTGCCTCCCGCCTGTTTACTTCCCTGACTGCCCCCGACGGGAGGCAGACAGGAGGCAGACGGGAGGCAGGCCGAGGGCCCGTGGGCGGAGTGCGGGCTCGGGCGTGTGCCCCGAGGGGGGGAGGGGAGGGGGCGGCTGTGCCAGGAGCCACCTGCCCGGAGTCGGGACTGGGAGTCGCAGCGGGGATGGACCGGGTCTGTGCCCTGCCAGGGCGGGCGGCATGGTGACGCGGTCCCCCCGCCTCTGCTCCTGGGTGCCTCTGGCCCTGGGTGCCCTGCCCCTGGGTGCCTCTGCCCCTGGGTGCCCCTGCCCCTGGGCGCCTCTGCCCCTGGGTGCCCCTGGGCGCCCCTGCCCCTGGGTGCCCTGCCCCTGGGTGCCTCTGCCCCTGGGTGCCTCTGCCCCTGGGTGCCCTGCCCCTGGGTGCCTCTGGCCCTGGGTGCCCCTGTCCCTGGGTGCCCTGCCCCTGGGTGCCTCTGGCCCTGGGTGCCCCTGTCCCTGGGTGCCCTGGCCCTGGGTGCCCGGCGGCCCCAGCCCGCTCCCCGGCTCTCAAGCCTGAGCCGAGCTTCCGGAACAGCGCAGGGAGCTCTGCACGCTGGGCCTGTGGTCACGCCCCTCCCCCACGTGCACACGCCGTCCCCATGTTCACGTGTGTACACATCACACACGCCTTCTCTCCCTTCGCCTTCGCCTCTCAGCTTCCCCCGCCCCTGGAGCCGAGAGATGCCCTGGGCCGGGCAGGGCCTGGAGCTGCTCTGCCCCTGGGTGCCCTGCCCCTGGGTGCCTCTGCCCCTGGGTGCTCTGCCCCTGGGTGCCCCTGCCCCTGGGTGCCCCTGGGTGCCTCTGCCCCTGGGTGCCCTGCCCCTGGGCGCCCCTGCCCCTGGGTGCCTTTGGCCCTGGGTGGCCCTGCCCCTGGGTGCCTCTGGCCCTGGGTGGCCCTGGGTGCCCTGCCCCTGGGTGCCCCTGGCCCTGGGTGCCCCTGGGTGCCCCTATCCCTGGGCGCCCCTGCCCCTGGGTGCCCCTGCCCCTGGGTGCCCCTGCCCCTGGGTGCCTCTGGCCCTGGGTGCCCCTGCCCCTGGGTGCCTCTGCCCCAGGGTGCCCCTGCCCCTGGGCGCCCCTGCCCCTGGGTGCCCCTGCCCCAGGGTGCCCCTGGCCCTGGGTGCCTCTGGCCCTGGGTGCCCCTGCCCCTGGGTGCCCCTGCCCCTGGGTGCCCCTGGGTGCCCCTATCCCTGGGCGCCCCTGCCCCTGGGCGCCCCTGCCCCTGGGTGCCCCTGCCCCAGGGTGCCCCTGGCCCTGGGTGCCTCTGGCCCTGGGTGCCCGTGACCCTGGGTGCCCCTGCCCCTGGGTGCCCCTGGGTGCCCCTATCCCTGGGTGCCCTGCCCCTGGGCGCCCCTGCCCCTGGTGCCCCTGCCCCTGGTGCCCCTGCCCCTGGGCGCCCCTGCCCCTGGGTGCCCTGGCCCCTGGGTGCCCTGGCCCTGGGTTCAGAGCACTGAGCACCTCCTTTCAGGGCCGGGTGGGGCAGGGGTGGAGCAGGGCGGGTGCTTCCTCCGGAAGCCCTGCCTTCCCTCATTGCCCCCCCGCCCGCCCCCTCAGCCGCACAGGCCAGCAGCACCCTGAGCCGCCCTGCTCCGGCTCCTGGCACCCCAGGCTGGAGGAGCTCCCCACAGCCCACGGGCTGGTGCAGCCCAGAACTCCACACCGGGGTTTGGGGTTTGGGGTTTGGGGTTTGGGCCTAAGCCCTGGCTCTGCTGACCTCAGGAACCGTGGGGACAGGGGCTCCTTCAGGACAGACCCTTCCAAATGCTCTCCTTCCAGCAGGGGCCCCGCAGCCCTGTGTCCACCCTGGTCTCCGTCCTGCCCGTCCCGACGCCGTGGCCGGAGAGGGCGCAGGGGACAGCGCAGCCCCGGCCGGCCACGCGGGGCGGACAGATACAGCAGACGCACCGCAGTGGCCGGCGTGAGCACCGCCGGGGAGGGGCGGGCAGGGCTGCTCGCCCCGAGGCCGGGAAGCCGGGGAGGCGGTGCCCAGCGCACCTGCCGGAGGGGAGGGGGCACAGGCCGGTGTGAGAGGGGCGTGCAGGAGCCCGGACGCTGTGTGTGTCTGCGTGTCTACGTGTGCATGTGTGTGTCTCTGTGTGTGTCTATGGGAGTCTCTGTGTGTCTGTGTGCCTGTGCCTGTGTGTGTATCTCTCTGCGTGTGTCTGTGTGAGTGACTGTGTGTGTGTCTGTATGTGTGTCTCTGTATGTGTGTCTGTGTGTATGTGTCTGTGTGTGTGTGTGTGCCTCTGATAGGTGTCTGTGTGGTGTATCAGTGTCTGTGCATGTGTGTGTGCGTGCGCGCCTGTGTGTGTGTGTGTCTGTGTCTTTGTGAGTGTCTGTGTGACTGGGTGTGTGTGTGTCTGTGTCTGTGTGTGTGTGTGTACCTCTGTACAGGGATCTGTGTGGTGGGTCAGGTGTCTGTGTGTGTGTGTGTGTGTGAGAGTGTGTATGTGTGTGTGTTGGTGCGTGTGTGTGTGTGTGTCTATGTGAGTGTCTGTGTGACTGTGTGTGTGTCTGTATGTGTGTATGTGTGTGTGTCTATGTGCCTCTGTATAGGTGTCTGTGTGGTGTGTCAGTGTCTGTGTGTGAGTGTGTGTTTGAGGGGGAGTATGAGTGTGTGTGTGAGTGTGTGTGTGAGAGAGACGCTGAGCCCTTGGAGTCCGATGCCCACAGGAGGGAGAGTGATCTGAACTTTAGGAGGATGAGAAGCTGTTGGTGACTCCAGTCTGCACGGGGTGGGGAGGATGTAAGAAAGGGTCTGATTGCACTTTCAGGAGCTTCTCTGCTTGGCGGGGAGCCTGCTCCCGGGATCAGAGTGGTGAGGGAAAAGGGGGGCCGGGGGCCTGGGAAGCCAGAGGCAGCAGCTGTGCCTGGGGAGGGCGAGGGGCTGGTGGGCGGCCGAGGTGGGGGGTGGGGGATAGGGGGTAGGAGGGGGGTAGGAGCCGTGTCCTGCGGACCCAGGGGTCATGGCCAGGGAATGTGGGCACAGGAGCCTCTGTCCTCAGTGAGGGGCCGTGCTGCCGGGGCCGGTCGGAGGAGAGACGCTGTGAGCAGGGCCGGGCGTGCCTGCCCCGTGGCGCCCGCTCTGCCCCTGCCGGGCTGCAGGATCGGCCGCCGCCTCCGGGACAGACGGGCGCGGGGACGCGGCCGCACGGGGCCTGACCCTCCGTGTCCCCACGCAGAGCGCGACGCCTTCGACACGCTGTTCGACCACGCCCCGGACAAGCTGAACCTGGTGAAGAAGGTGAGCCCTCCCCGGGGCGGCGGAGGGCACCGGGTGAGGCTGAGACATCTGCCGGGAGCAACTGACGGCACGTAACCGTGGCCGTGGGGCCGGCAGCTCCCCTCCCCGCCGTCTGTGGGCGCGCCCCCGGGCCGCGTGGCCGGCGCTCCCAGGAGGCTGCGTCCGCACAGAAATGACCCGAGCTCGCTCTCCGCCAGGACCCCGGGCCCGGCTGCCAGCACCGACCCAGACCAAACCCTTCACCGGCCGCCAGCTCCCCCTCCCCACCCCCACCCCCGGAGCTGCTGGAGGGCTTCCCTGCACCCAGAGTTGCCTGCAGGGCCCTGCCCTCGCCCAGGTCTTCCCAGTCCCCCTCCCACGCTGGCCCGTCCACCCCGTCCCGCCACGGCCGGAAGGTCCCGAAGGGTCCGCCCTCACGTGTGTGGCCGGGGCCCGCTCTGCCCCCCTCCCCACCCCCGGCCCAGCACAAAGCCCCAGCGCGGAGCCATACCCTCTCTCCAGCCTGTCTCCCCCACCCCGTGGCCGTGTCCCCCACGGCTCCGTCCCAGCGCCAGGCGTGTGCAGGGAGGTCCTGTCAGGCCTGCGGGTGGCCTGGCCGCTGGCCCGGGGCCTGGGGCGGCTCCGCCCAGTGGGGCAGCAGGAACGTGGCCGGGACCTGGCGCCCAGGGTGGGCTGGCGGGATCGCGCTCCCACGGAGCTGGTGTGGAGGCTGAGGAAGTGCACGGGGGACGGTGTGCAAAGGCGGCTCCGGGACCCCCGGCCCCTGTTCCGGAAGCCGGAGGCTGGCCTCGCGGCCTTTCCCGTCGGCCGCGGCCAGGGTGCCTTGGGCGCATGTACGGTTCGGTGCCCTCCGGCGGCGTGTCCGGCCGGGCCTGAGTGGGCCCGTGAGCGCGGGGCTTGGCGATCAGGGACGCGTTTCCTTCCTCAGCTGGGGCGTGGGCGCAGCCTCATGAAAACCGGGGTGATTGTGAGACCGTTTCGTGTAAAACGCGAGCTTCTTATCTCAGTGAACCGGATTAGGGACCTGCTTCCCAAAGCCTGGCCGGCCGTCCCATCGACCGGGCGGGAGCTGCTCTCAGCCCCATCCCTGTGCCTGAGAGGGGGGGGGTGAGGGGCGGGGGGAGCTGCTCTCAGCCCCGTCCTGTGCTGGGGGGGGTGGGGAGAGGGGAGCTGCTCTCAGCCCCATCCCTGTGCCTGGGGGGGGGGGCGGGGGGAGCTCCTCTCAGCCCCGTCCTGTGCCTGGGGGTGGGCGGGGGTGGGGGGAGAGGGGAGTTGCTCTCAGCCCTGTCCCTGTGCCTGGGGGGGGGGGAGCTGTTCTCACACACCCCTCTGCCTCTGCAGTCTCTCATCACCTTCGTGAACAAGCACCTGAACAAGCTGAACCTGGAGGTGACGGAGCTGGAGACCCAGGTGAGTGGCTCTGGGGAGGCGCACAGGGGCCGTGAGCAAACCGGCCGCCATGGTGCCCGTCTGGTCCGGCAGGAACGCCCGCCAACAGCGCCAGCCCGGCCCCCGCGCCCCCACAGGCCCTCGCCTTGCTCTCCCGGGCCTCGGAGAAAGCACACACACACACACACACACACACACACACACACACACACAGAGGTTTAGCCGGCGGCCCCACGGCCGCCCGCGGGCCCCTGAGGCCCATGGGGTCCGGACGGCTGGGAGCTGCTGGTTTAGGCAACTCTCCCCGTCCTGGAGGCGAAGTCCCAGCAGAGGCAGGCTGGTGACCCCACAGACACTTCAATACTGACCCAAGCCGTGCTCTGGGGGAGGCTCAGCTCTATTAATATTGTTGTTATTACTCCTCACAGAGGACAGTTTTCCATTGTTTTCAGAGATAGTGGGAGGGAGAGGGAGTGGCACAGGGAGAGGAACATTATGTGGGAGAGACACGTTGATTGGTTGACTCCTGCACACGCCCTGGCCGGGGCCTGGGATCGAACCTGCAACCCAAGTGCGTGCCCTCTATTGGGAATTGAACCCAAGACCCTTCAGCGCCTGCTCTTCCTCGGGGCGGCTGGGGGACAGTTGGGTCCGGGGGCGGCTGGGGGACAGCTCCTGCCTGGCTCACTCCTGTGAGAATGCAGCCTCTGATACGTGGGCTTTGGGCCGAGGGGTCAGCATCTCTGGCCTGTGGGCTGTCCAGCGCCCTCCCCCACGCCCTCTCCAAAGGAAAGTAGCGCCGGGGACCGGTTTCCGCAGCCGTGGGCGCCGCGGCAGAACCTCATCCCCAGGATTAGCGGCCGAGCCTGCAGCCGCGGGCCTGGCGCCCGGCGCTCGCCGGCTGATCCTCTGCAGCCGGCTGATTGCATTCACTCCGCGGCCAGCGCTTCTCATTTGCTTTTCTAATTAAAAAAGGGATTCAGGTTCCTTGTGGGGAAGCCTGAGCCTGCAGATAAGCAGAACAAAGAGAGCCTCTGCTGCGCCATCTGTGCCAGGGCCGTTCCAGGCCTCCGCACGGCAGTCCTCCCGGGCGGACAGTCCTCCTGGGCGGACAGTCCTCCCGGGCGGGCGGGCAGCGGTCTGTCTGGGAAAGCCGGGCGCCCAGTTTGCCCGTGTGGGTGGTTTCTGTGTGTGTGTGTGGGGGGGGGGGGAGGCCATGGAAATGTGTTGGTTATTCCAGTGCCTTGCCAGCCTGGCACACGGCCGCTGTACCTACAGTCTGATAGGTTCCCGGTTCGGAGGTGTACAAGCCGACAGGGGTCACTGTAGGTCACCGTGCCATGGACATTTTTCTAGATATTTTATGTCCATAAATGTATTTTAAAAATATATATATATTTTTTTATTGATTTTTTATAGAGAGGAAGAGAGAGGGACAGAGAGTTAGAAGCATTGATTAGCTGCCTCCTGCACACTTCCCACTGGGGATGTGCCTGCAACCAAGGTACATGTCCTTGACCGGAATCGAACCTGGGACCCTTCAGTTCGCAGGCCGATGCTCTATCCACTGAGCCACACCGGTTTCGGCCATAAATGTATTTTCTAGATGGCACCGGATCCCACTGCACAGCTGTTTGTAATGTTTCTGGTTTTCCCCTTTCAATATATTTTGGCTGATTTCAGAGAGGAAGGGAGAGGGAAAGAGAGAGAGAGACATCCATGGTGAGAGAGAATCGTGGATCAGCTGCCTCCTGCACGCCCCCCACTGCGGATCCAGCCCATACCCCGGGTGTGTGCCCTCCTGGTTCAGGGGTCAGTGCTGCAGCCTGTGCCGCCGGCCAGGCCCAGCTCCCCCTTGTGCGTGGACGCGCAGCAGGGCGGCTCCGAGCGCCGTCCCCGGCGTCAGCGGTGCGTCCTGCAGTTCGCAGACGGCGTGTACCTGGTGCTGCTCATGGGCCTGCTGGAGGGCTACTTCGTGCCCCTGCACCACTTCCACCTGACGCCGGACAGCTTCGACCAGAAGGTACGCCCCCGCCACCCTCGGGCCGGCGCGCTCTGCAGGCTTAGAGCCGTCAGACGGCCCCGGAGAGGAGGCCGACGCCTGCCTCTCCCGGCACTTCCCGCCCGGCAAGACCGCCCTTCCTAACCGCCGCAGTGTCCGCCCGTGCCCTGTGCCTGCCCCGCGGCCTCCCAGCCGCGTGCCTGCTGCTCCCCCAGCCCCCAGGCGCGTGCTCAGGGCGTGGCCTCCTGTCCCCCGCTCTTGCCCCATCAGCCCGGTCCTGTGCTTTCCCTATGAAAACAAGGCATCTTCTTGAATGTGTATGTATATATGTATGTATACGCACGTGTATATGTGTATGCATGTATATATATGTATATATGTATGTATGTAGGTATGTATGTATGTAGGTATGTGTGTATGTATATGTATATATGTATGTATAGGCAGGCATGTGTGTATGTATATGTAGGTATGTATGCATACATGTATGTGTACATAGGTATGTATGTATATATGAGACTCGATGCATGAAATTCATGCAAGGGGCTCAGGCCTTGCAGCCCCAGCTTCGTCTGGAAGGACATTCGGAAGGTCATTCGGCTGTTTGGTCTAATTAGCACATAGGCTTTTATTGCTACAGATATATAGATATAGTTTTTCATTCCTGAGGGTTGTGTCTAGCAAACTTCCCCGGAGAGGATCGTTAGGATGTTTGGTGCCAGGGCCTAACCATCCCGGTGTGGCCAGGCCGGTGGCCTCCTGCCGGGGGCCCCCGGGACCCCAGCGCCCGCACTCTCAGGCGCCTTGGAAGCGGGCAGAGGGCCTGACCACACTGCTGTGGGCACATGGGCTTCTGTCGTGTTGTTTTCCCAAAGTGCTGGACCCGCGTGTCCGGGGCAGGCAGCGGGGAACTCCCGTCGGGCCAGGGCGCTCAGTCTGCCCGCTGCACCCTGCGGCTGCTGGCACGGCCTGGCATCCACGGCCGCCGTGTGTGCCCATGAGCCGATCTGGCTGGAGATCAGCTGATGGTGGGGGCAGGGGGAGGTGAAGGGCTGCTCTGTGCTGGGGACAGGGCCCCAGGCCCGGCACCTCTGGGAAGTGACTTGTCTTCTCTGAGCCTCAGTTTCCTCATCTGTAAAATGGGGTCACGGTCACTTTTTATCCTGTGGACGTGCCAGGGCCCGGGGCAGACACACAGGGACCCCGAGCCTCCAAGGGCAGGCTCCCTGCCTTCACCCCCGCACCCCCCAGCCGCCCCTGATCACTGGTGAGGGGGGAAGGACCAGTAAGTGAGCACGTCCTGCTTCTACAGACGTCTACCTGCCGTGCCCAGGGCCTCACTGCAGAGACCACGCTGCCCACGCCTGCTCCCTCTGTCCTTTCGGGGAGAGTGGGGCAGCGGGCGGGCTGGGCAGCGAGGCCCCAGCGTTAACCCCACACCCTCGCAGGTCCACAACGTGTCCTTCGCCTTCGAGCTCATGCTGGACGGGGGCCTCCAGAAGCCCAAGGCCCGGCCGGAAGGTAACCCCGGTGCCGGGGAGGGACGGAGGGCGCCTGTGCGGGCCACCCGGGCCTCGTCCCACAGGTGGCGGCCGGGGCCCGCGGGGGACCTGTGTCTGGGACGCGCTGCCAGAGCGGCCCAGGCCCCAGCGCCAGGCCAGCCGCGCCCCCTAACGCTCCGTCTCCTCCGCAGACGTGGTGAGCCTGGACCTCAAGTCCACCCTGCGTGTCCTCTACAACCTGTTCAACAAGTACAAGAACGCCGAGTGACCCGCGGCGGCGCCCCTGCCCCCCACCGGCCCGTCCCTCCCTGCCCCACCCCGCCTCCTGCCGGTGCCCGGGAGCCGCAGGGTCTGAGGGGCTCCGGCTGCTGCGGCGGCCGCCGGCCTGGACCAGGCGATGGAAAGGAAAACGCCGGAACCCAGGCCTCCGCCGCGGGAGGGCCCCCCTCCGTCTGCCGCACCGCCAGGGCCCCGGGCATCGTCCGAGAGCCCACAGCTCGCCCTCCCGGCGGGACCTCCGGCGCTCCCCTTGGAACAGGCCTTCTGAGTGAGAAGCGATCTGCAGTTCTAAAACTGCGTCCGGGCCCAGAAGCCGCGGCTGCTCCTGGCCCTCGTGTGTGTTCCTCTCGTTTTCACTAACGCCTCAGGCCCCGCTGCCCCCGCCCGCCGCCCAGGGAGGGTCCCGCCCGGGGGACCTGTGTCTGGGCGGGGGCTTGGGGTTCCTTCGGAGCCGCCCTCCGTGGCCTGCAGTCCCCTGTCCTCCCCTGTCCCCCCGGGGTGCCGCTGTGTGTGTGCCCTGGCCTCTCCTATAAGGACCCCCGTCCCGTTGGGCTGCACCAGCCATGTGACCCGATCACCGGCACCCCCTCCGGCTGTGCTTTCTGAGGCCCCGGGCAGGGCTCCGCTCGGGGTTCTGGGGCCCCGCAGCCCCTCCAGGAGGGCGAGAGGTGTTCCTCCGGATCCCGGAGTCTGGCACCTGCCCTGTGTGCCCCCTCACCCCCTGCTGCTCACCCCGTGCCCCCCGAGGCGCCCGCCGGGGCTCAGCCCCCTGACCTCGGTCCCCAGCGCCCCAGCTGGGGCTCAGGATGGGGTGCGAACCCCAGGGAGGCCAGCCTGGGGCAGCCCGCCCGGGGGCGGCTCTGCCGGTTCCTGGGCCCACGCCGAGCCAGGCGGGAGGAAAGGAGCCGTGAGATGGGGAACTCACCCCGGGCGACGGCCTCACCGCTGACTGTCGGAGCCGTGCATCAGGGAGGGCGTGATACTTCGTCCGGATTACTTTTCCCAGCTGGCTCAGGGTGCGGGCGAGCTCGCGCACACCTCCCGGGACCCCTCCGGCCGCACCGTTCATTTTCCTGGTTCCACTTTGCAGAGAGAATCGAAACTCTCAGACGTCCCGGGTTTGGTTCCCCGTCAGGGTCGGAGCCCCAGCCGGGGGCGTGCGGGAGGCAGCCGATGGGTGTGTTCTCACATTGATGTTTCTCTCTCTCCCTTTCTCC